AGGGAAGCGAGTTCCACAGGAACGGTGCAGCCCTCGAGAAATCTTGAAAGCGAGCATCAGAGGTGGGAGTACGGACAGAAGATAGACGTAAGTCTTCAGCAGATCGTAAGGGCCTAGACGGGACATACTTGTGTATAAGGGAGGATAGATAGGTGGGAGCATTATGTAGAGATTTGAAAGCAAGAACCAGAATTTTATATGCCACATTTTGTTCAAAAGCTTATTGATTCATGTTATTCTTTTCTAGAGCCTTGAACAATGTGTAAACATACCTACACAGGGGGATACAATAACACAATGTTGGGTTTGCATGTTGCCTAAGGCACACATGTTGCAGTGGAGGTCGTTCAGTAAAGCTTTCAGAGCACCTTCTGTCACAGGTGAGCCCTCAGTTTGCTTTACAGGCAAGTTAGCTCTCTATCTTCTAGCTCTAATGTCCAGCTCCTCCATGTCTGGAAGGGACGCTTCGCTGGATAAATAGGACAGCCCATCTGTGATAGGAGCCATGGCAGGATTCACAGCTTCCTGCGGCTTCCGCAGCATTTCGCCGATATCAGCGGTTGTTGGGATTTTATCCGCATTGTATTTCTTATTTTCCCACCCTATTGTTAGAGGGAATGATTCTGCGCTCTTGGCGATCAGTTTCCATGCTGGAAAGGTAAGTATTTGGGTTTAATTCTCTGACTGGCCTGGAGCTCACTTGGGATGCTTCCGGACACTCCGCCCCTGGTTAGTTTGTTTTTAAGTCCCTGTTTAGTAGACAAAACGCAAATTAAAACATGCATGTACCCAAATATTCCTTTTTTTCCATTAAGGTTATATCTAAAAACAGCTTGCAAAGCTGTAGTTCTCATCTAAAGCCTTTGCAATCCCTTCAGAGACTTTCTGTGGTTGTCTAATAACAGATTTCCCAATGTAGCTCAATGAGAAGTCTTTGCAAGGCAGGTACTCTGGGCAATTTCTGCCTCTTGAGTTTAACTCCACTAAGCTAACCAAGCAGGAAGTAACGACACCTGTTGTCTGACTGAAAGCAACGGGGGTGTAACCAGGTTAATTTACAAAAGTGTAAATTTTTATTGTAATCTGCACTTTTTGTAAAATGAAAAAAAAGGACCCACTCTTCACACATAAGGCAGTTCAACAAGCTAAAGTAGTTTAGGGGTCCGAGATGTCCCTTTATGTATCTCTTGGCCTCACCAGAAAGTATTTAGACTTCTAGATTGACAGTTATTGAATTATATTGCAGAATCCTCAGCATCCTTGCTGGCATATTTCCATTAAAAGAATTTAGACACTTGCTAGAGGGGTCATCAATACCTCTCACTATTCTTACGTACCATAAGAATCTTTCTGTGTCTGGTAGTTTCAGCCTTGCATTGGGATAGAACAGCACTAACTCCTGTTTCTTATGTGTCAACCTCAACAAGAAAAGGAAGTAAAGGGTCACGATGAGAAAATCCCCTAATAAACAATCTATAGTAGTAAAATAAACCTATAAACTCTGAATGGCTTTAAAACCTTTAGGTAACGGCCACTCAAGAATCCATTTTAACTTTATTGGGTGGATTTAAAAACTAACCCTGATATTACATATAATTGTAGCTGGTCTTTATTGAAAATACATTTTTCAAGTTTACAAAAAAAAACATTCTCGAAAAGTTTCTTTAAAACTTTTCTGACGTGATCAAAATTAGGGCAATGAATGAGAATATTGTCTGGATAGACAATAAAAAAAATCACGTATAAAATCTCTCAGCATGTCATTAATTAGGTCCTGGAAGATGGCTGGGGCATTACGGAGTCCAAAGGGTATCACACTATACTAAAAATGGTTACATCTGATGTTGAAAGTCGTCTTCCACTAATCTCCCTCCTTAATCTGCACCAAATTATAGGCATCCCTTAAATCCAATTTGGTAAAGATTTGTGGCCACTTGAGTCTGTCAAAAAGTCCAAGGGAATTGGGTAAGTATAATAAATAGTGACTATACGCAATGCAAGGTCTCAGATCACCTTCCTTTTATGAAACAAAAAAGAAACCTGCATTTGCAGGATATGAGGAACGTCTAATAAAGCCTTTTTTTTTTAGAGCTTCTTTGATATATGCCTCCATGACAGTATTCTCCTTAACAGAGAGGGGATATACAGAGCCCCTTGGAGCAATTTGATGGAAAAATTGTTTGCACGATGAGGAGGGAACTTGTCGGCCTCCATTTTTTTTTTTTATCAAAGACTTCTTTTAAGTCTATGTACTGCATAGTAAATTCTGTAGAAAGAGGGATCATAGAAGGCAGGTTTATCAACAGCAATGGTTTAATTTTAGGTAAACAGGTATCGTGACAAGAACAAGGCCATGAACCAGGTGTTCCCCAAAACCATTGGAATGATAGGCGATAAAATGAGCTGCAGTACCATAATATACTTACGCATAGCCTCTACAGTCATGAACATAGGTATAGAATCCTTTGTTGTAGTTGGTATTTTGAAGTGGTCAACCATCTATGGCCTCTTGGACCGAGGGTGTAGATTTTTTATTGAGAGGAAGTTCCTACATTTTAGCAATGCCAATGTCTAAAAAGCTTTTTGCTACCCATGAATCTAATAAAGCAGTATTATCTACCAATCTCCCTTCACACTGTAACATAACATATAGTAGAAGGCTTAGATTTTGTTTGTATGTTTTAGAGGACATTCTAGGACCTTAGGTTTGAAAGGTTTCTGGCGTTACGGGGCACTATATACGGAGGCGACCTTTCTTTCCGTAATATAGGCAAAGTCCTTCTACTATACAACTTTTCATAGGTTCGGGAGTAGAAACTGCCACAATAACCTGAAATACAGGTGCCAGTCTCAGTGATGTCTTTCTGGTTCTTTCTTTCACATTGTGTCTATACCCGAGTCTCTCATCAATGTGTAACAGGTAAATTATTAAATCCTCAAGTTTGATTGGTAAATCCCTATTTTCACTTTGAAGATTCAATCTGTTAATTAACATTTCAATAAAAGCATGATTGTTTCATTGTACTTCTGATGCTAAGGTACAGAACTCCAGGGCATAATCATCTATGGAACAATTCCTTTGTTTTAAATGTAGGAGGCATTGTCATGTTTAGAGAAGAACCACAGGCGTTGTTTGATTCCAATCTAGCAGAGGGACTGGGAACTGCTGGAGTGGTTTGTGTCTCGGTTTACAAACAGGCAGTATGGGGCAACACGGTTTGTAAAGCCTGGGCAAACTGGTCCATACAATGGTCCAGTTCATCCAAACATACTGTAACAGGATTCATACCCCAATATGCAGGAAGAGTGGAAACCCACAAAAGGTGGATCTGAAAGACATATTACCTAGCCTTAGAGTGTCCGGACTTAACGTGTTAATATAGCCAGAAGCAAGGTCAGGATAAGGTAAATACAGAAATGCACAGGAATACAGAAATACACAGAGTATATACAAAGTCGGGTAAGGATATCAGAAAATCACAAGTCAAATACAAAACCTGGTCAGGATACAAGAAATCAAAAGTCAAATACAAAGCTGGGTCAGGATACCATAAAATCACAAGTCAAATACGAAGCTGGGTCAGGATACCAGAAATCACAAGTGAAATACGAAGCTGAGGTCAAACACAGATTAGGGTCGCAATGATGACATGGTCAGTTTAAGAGCAGGCATGACGTCACGCCCAAACTTTATTTAAGATCACGCCCTCAAAGCAGGCAGCACCGAAGGTCTGAATAATGGCTGAACGCTGGTGAACACAGAGGAGCGATTTGCCAGCACCTGAAGGATAAGTATGATATTTCTTTCTAGGTGCCATGCCACGCGGCCGTGTGTAGTGGTCAGGTCGTGCAGGACGAGGAGGGCTGTGAGGCTTGAAGGAGATGAGTAAGCGCTACACATGCATCATAACTAGCATACTGAGATGTAATACCTGCAGGGTTCATGGCCCTGTTGTAATGTCACAGATATATACCCCAGTACACAGAGTAAATAAACGTGTTACAGGTCCTTAGATGTGACCAGGCTTCATATAGAACATGATGTAGATTCACCAGTTGTCCTTCCTTGCACCATTTTTGGTAGGTACTAACCACTGCTTACCAGGAATGCTACAAGACTTGCCGTTTTAGAGATGTTCATACCCAGTTCCCTAGCCATTACTGTTTGTCCCTTGTCAAACTCACTTTTTGCTTGCCCATTTTTCCTGCTTCCAACACATGAAATTCAAGAACTGACTGTTCACTTGCTGCCTAATATATCCCAACAGTTGACAGGTGCCATTGTAACGATATAATCAGTGTTATTCAATTCACCTGTCAGTGGTTTTGGCTGATGTTGTGGCTGATCAGTGTATACATGTATACATAATTCTAAGTTACCCTTCAATTAACTTTTCTGTGATGGATGCCATATTCACATGAAAAACAGGAATAAAATAGTAATACCTTGTTTTATATATCATTTCAGACCTGCTTTTACTGTAAAATTGACTCTGCTACAAAAAAGAAAGAATACTGGAATATTTAAAATTATGCTCTGGTTATTAATAGACTGAGCACTCTAAGTGCATGTTAGTGGTTTTATTTGTCTTAACTATTATTTGCTGTTTAAAACATGATTTTTGAGATATTGATTTTCTGATCAAAAGCCACAGGCTGTTGCTTGTACCAAAAAATAAATATGTATAAGTTCTTATTAATCCTGGCACTCTTAAACCAATTTACCATTTAAATTTGATTGTACCACAATTTTCCATCTTTTATTTTACTTACCTGGCTGAAAAGCTTTGTGTGCTTTTTCCTTTTGCAAAAAGTGAATATATCAATAGAAATTCACACTTTTATAAATAATGCTGGTTTTGAAGAAGACAATCGGTCCAGGCCTACCCCCGGACTGCCTAAGGAGGAGGGAACATGACTGCTAGCCGGAGAAGTTGCCATGGTAACAAAATTGCTACAATGTACAGGAAATAGGTGCCTGGAATTCTGGGAGAACTCACCGGTCCACTGTAGCACAGCCGAGGAATCCTGTTGGTGTTTTTTTCCTGTGAGTACCGAACGATCAAGTACGCATGGTGTTTGGGGGTTTGACAACGCCAAACGCATGCGAAGGGATGGTGTTCCGGAGCATAAAAGTGCTGAACGCAAATGGATGGATGGTGCTTGGGAGTTGGATGATGTTGTAATTATTTCATTGCTTTGCATGAGATGGCACGTTCGGGGGCCAAACAGAGAGGCAATTCGGGAGATCTTCAACTGTTCGATTTGCATAGACATCAGGATTCGGGAGCGGATCGACAGTTTAATCCTTATAGACATCATGATTCAGATGAAGGGACCCGCCGAATGTCTGCTGCAAGTGCAAGTCGGCTGGGAGAGCAGAGTGTTCCTTTCAATTCGGTAGCTCAGAGAGTGGACGGACCGGACTCTCTGCTTCAGACGACTGAGTATAATTGCGCTTGCGAATAGCAATCTGCGCAGTTACAGGCAGGGTCTAATGTACAGCAAGTTGAAGTCATAGGGCTATTTAGGGCAGTCTTAGATAAATTAACTCCTGGTGCAGCGCATAGAGGTAGCCGCAATTCTTTTGCTGCTCAGGGTGAAAGTTCCATTCCTATGGGTGCGGAGGCAACCGTGAATGTTCCCTCACTTGGCCCAGTTTGTGTAGTGGCCCTATTGGGTCTACATGTTCCTACGGAGATTAAGGAAAAAATGTTGAAGGGTGAGTTTGTAGGCCTCTTATCTTTTGTACCTCTAGATGAGGAAACAGTGGACAGACCGCGTCATGTTGATCCATCAGAGGGTGAAAAAAGGTAAGCAGCTTCCTCTGACCTTTGGTAACTGGTTTTGCTAATTTTGCTAGGATCCTATCAAGTAAGTTCCCAGGCCCCTTACTTGTTTGCATACTTAGAATTGGTTCAAATATGACCAGCAATTTAGACAAAAAATGGCGGTTTGGTCTAATGTAGATTTCAGTATACAGCAATTTATGGCTTTTATTGATGCCATGCCACCCGACAACATTTCCAGCACCAGCCGGCGCTCCTGATGGAGGATTGGCGGGACACAAAAAAGGCTCTGCAACGAAAGCCAATGCAGATGATACAGTAGCTGCTGGCTCAAACATGAATGCTCCTATTGTGGAGGAGCTCACCCAGCAGTGCTCTGTTTTAAACAGAGAATACGTTTGCCTAGATCAGCATTCAAGGATGACATTCCTAGGAATGAGGACCCCGGTGAAGGTGGAAAGGCTCTATCCATGGCTCGTATGGTATCCTAAACGCTAAAAAGCAGAAATTCTTTGGGAAGGTTTCTCAAAAGGTTTTACTATCCCAATTCAAGCGTCTTCAGCGGCGTCGTTTGCTCCGAATTTATTGCTAGTTCAAGGAAAGAAAGCTGTCTTAGCAGATAAGTTGAGGAAGGAAATGAGCTTAAGTCGTATGGCTGGCCCTTTTTCCCACCCGCCATTTCACAACTTGCGGGTATGCCCTCTGGGTTTGGTCCCTAAAAAAAGAACCGGACGCTTATAGGTTAATTCAGCACCTTTCCTTTCCGTTGGTTCGTCGGTTAATGATGGCATATCAAAGAATGACTTTCAGGTTCCATATGCGTCCTTAGATTGGCATTGGAGTTGGTTCGCGACACAGGGCAAGGGGCCCTGATAGCAAAATCCTATATCCAACCTGCGTTCCGTTTGTTACTGGTTCATGTGTGGAGCGAATTTCTGCCAGGCTATAATAGGCTTACCTATTGGTGTACCGAATCTGTATCAAATTCTACCCTGGATTCATCCCACTGTTCACGCAGGATCTATCGGTTTCGACTTGGACTGCTGAAGACATGCTCCACAACTTAACCTTCTTGGAATTGTTTCCCATCATTGTGGCAGTTAAGCTATGGGGTTTTGTTTAAGCGAACACGCAGGTTATCTTCTGAACAGACAATATGAGCCTTGTACATGTGGTAAATCGGCTGTTATCAAGGTCTCGCCCAGTATTTGCTCTGTTACGGCGACTGGTGTTGCGATGCTTGGAATATAACTTATGGTTTTGTGCAGTTCATGTTCCAGGGGTCAATAATTCTATTGCGGACTCTCTGTCTCATCTGCAGTGGGATGGTTTTCGGGAAGTAGCTCCGAGAGCGGACGCGACGGGCCTAACGTGTCCAAACCTCTTATGGAACCTTGATTTCGGAACTTAACAGAACTAATCAGAGGGTTGTTGGCCTCATCTTCCTGGCAGGCATATGGGTCAGTGTGGGAACAGTGGATCTCAGGTTCGGTAGGGGATTTCGATTTATAATCATCCAATCGTAGGTTGTGCGCTACGCTGGCTTTTCTGTCGTCCCTGCGTTCTGCCTGTGCATCAGTGGCTTCGGCGGAACATAACATGACAGCCCTTTCTTTCTTAATGCAGTTTATGGAATGGAAGGAAGTCATTCTTTAGTCAGCGAATAGGAGGAGGGAACGGGTTTGGATGTCCGTCGTCCGCTCTCCGTCCCCTTACTTGAAAATCTGTGTGGGGCTCTTTCATCAGTTTGTTTTCCCCTCTTTGAAGTTCTTCTCTTTAGAGTGGCCTTTTCCCTATGTTTCTATGCGGCCTTGCAAATTGGCGAGTTAGTTGCCCCTAGAGCCAGGAGTGCATCCGCGATGTCTCTCTCAGATGTTTCCAGTGACCAAACATATTGCGTTCAGAATTGTGGATTAGAAAGTCTAAGACCGATCAGTTGGGGTCTGGTCGAGCTTTTAGGATTGATGCTACTGCTGGTGCTTGGTGTCCGGTTTCTTTGGTTCATGCCTACTGTAGCGGAGCAGCAATAATAAATCCCATGATCTCCGCTGGTTCAGAAGGTAATCCACAGTCAAGGGCTGAAAAGCAAGGCAATATCCCAAATCTCCCAGTAACCGGACGAAACACAGTTCTGAGAGTCAACTGAGGCTTTATTCACAGGCTCCACAATTTATACAATTCCTCATGCAAGGGGTTTCCTGAGTCCTATCCCAGGGGTATTCCAGGGGTGGACTACATGGGGAACTTACAGTACAGAGCCTTTCTCCCATCAGGCACTGCTGCACGAGAGGGATCCTCCCACTGGAATGTACCATTAAGTGGATTATCCCTCCGTGCAGCAGAACCGGCAATTTACATTAAAATATACAACTTTTCGAATATTAGGTCTATTTGCACGAATGGACATTCGGTAGATAGCTGGGGTCTGAGCGCATCATTCGTGAGATTACCGCTCAGATCCCAGCTAAAACAACCGAACGCCGTGCGAAAAACACATTCACCAAAACATGCATTTAAAAGACCGATTGATATATGGGGAATAAAGTACCGAACGGCCCGGAACTCCCGAACGGCCTGGAAGTCCAGCGGTGTTCGCGCCGTCGAGTAGCCGTTTTTAGTACCACACACTCAACGACCAAACACCCCTGGAGGAACAAAGGATCCAAGATGGCCGACAGCCGCATGGTCGGTAGTCGAACGACGGCCACCTAGGAGAGCCTCTAATTACCGATTGCAACATTGTTGCAATCGGTTAACAAGCGCCACACGTCTCTTAATGTGTGGGCTATTACAGGGTGGTTTATTCGGTTCACGAACGGCCCGCAAAGGTGCCGTTCGTGAAACGAAATGACATACAGCTATCTGCTTCGGTAGATAGCCAATGCAGGCAATACAACACTATACAGTCAGCATACATTACACCCAGGAACATACACATCCCCCCAACCATACAGGCAACCCTTAAAGCCATAGTCTCTGTATAATGTCCAAGTGGCTAGGTCTGCCACACCTACCTTTGGGTTTGCCCATTCCGGGAGGGTTCCTTTCTTATTAATGAGGATGGGTCAGTACTGACGCACTAGCAATTTTCGATTGTCTTTAAGTCAGCGTTGCGCTCGCTGGAGGTAGAGGATAGTGGTTACATTCTTTTTGCATAGGTGCGGCTACTCAGGCTAGCAGGTTATTGTTATCAGATGCCGCTATTCAGCGTTTGAGTTTTGGGAGCTCTCACAGATTTCGTTTATATATGCGCCCTCAATTATTGTAGGCGCTCGGGGTGTAATAACCATTTATCTGTTTTTCCAGGTACGGGCCGTTTTCTTTGGATTATAGGTCACTATTTACTGGGCAGCTCGACATGCAGAGCAAAGACCGTACGGCAGGAATCTGGAGTTCTCTCATGACTAGGTTAGGGTAAAATAACGCATGATAAGGGCATCAAATTTACCCAGAGTGCATAGCCTTCTGGTGTTTTGTTTCTGGCTGCTTATCTATGCAGGGTGTAAGGACTTGGGGTTGTGTTGTACCGTGGACTTAAACCACCCATGTATACATGATTTGGTGTACTGCTTTGCATTGTTTCCCAGCTTGGTGTTAATTTGGTTGGAGGTGGTTCCCCGTCCCTGTTGGCAATCCTTACTGAACGCTGAGGCCCTGGAGCGATCTCATCGGTGGCTCAACTTGACGATATCGAATTTTGTACACAGTTTAGGGGGCCTGGTGATTTGCCATATTGAGCTGGAGGCCAACAATCGTAACATGATGAGAAATGATTGGGTTCACCTCAACCCCATCGGGCTGGATATTTTTAATAATGATTTCCACTCGATTTTTGAAAAAGCGCTGGCTTCAGGGGGATGCAGCCTTTCCCCAGTTTAGGGTCCAGGCTCCGGTGGCGGGTTTTCCTGCACCAGCAAGTTATGAAAGGACACTGCCCGGATGGGCTTGGTGAGTCGCAGCCTGATTTGGTGGATCAGGAATGACAGGGTGAAGAGGCTCTGGTTATAAAGTTATGTTATGTGTCTGCTGGGTCAAACCAGCAGCTGACAGTGGTTGTTTGCTGGTTGTCGGAAAATAAAGCTGTGGCCGTTGCCCTTACCCACTAATATGGTGTTGTGTTATTTATTGGTGGGAGGGGACAAAGGGAATGGTTTACGGAGGTATCAGCAGTCATGTTACTTCTTGGTTTGATTAGCTTAGTTGCACTGAACGCAAGAGGCAGCAATTGCCTAGATCACTTTGAAGATCCTTCTCACTGAGCTGTTTGAGAAGTCTATGATGGAACAGTTACAGAAAGTCTGGGTGGGGTTAGAAGAGGAGGGTTTGCAAAGACAGCAGACAAGAGATCTGCAGTTTTGCAATCTGTTTAGATATAAAAATAAATCATAATTATTAAATGCATGCAAATTTTCATTGAGGCTATATCTACTAAACAGTGATTTATATTCATTTTGTATTTGAGCAGTGGAGTGTCCCTTAGAAAGATTGGTGTAGCAGACCGCTGTCACTAGGTACTATGCCCACTGCTTA